TGTGGCATACCTCGTGGAGCAGCTGAGGTTGGCGCTGTGTGCAGCGCAGATCCCAGAATGCCCAGAGCAAGCACCCCATGTAATGCAAGCACCCTGGACTGGCTAGAATCTACCATGTATCTGGGATCTGCACCACACATGATGCCCCTGGTGGTCCAGCACTGCACAGCACAAAGTGCCTGCTTCAGCCAGTTTGGGACCCAGGCTGCACGTGGTACCAGTGAGTGCTATGTGCAACACTGGTCCTGGACTCGCCGGAGCTAGCACCATGCGAGAAGCATGTCTTAAAGTGCCTGGATCGAGTACTGTGTAGCACAGTTCCTGCAGTAGTACTATGTGTGGCACACGTCCCAAGCCCTTCCCTTGGGGCTAGTAAAGGTCAATTCAGACCCGGGACAGCACCACAGGCCAGATAACGGGGCTCTGCAGGGCAGCTCTGGGCCATATGTTTGACACCCCTCCTTCACTGGTACAAAGTGTCAGGATTCCACCCAACTCAGCACAGCCATGACAATTCACAACCAAGGAGGATCTGATCAATGTCAGTAAACCTTCAGCTAGAATTACTTTCATCTCCCTGCAACTCACACGCTTTCACTCACAGTTCATTACATTTCCCTTCCTCCAACATGACAAAAAATGCTTTGCATCCAAAAGCCTCCCAGACTTTATTCCAACCATAATAAAAGATACAACCCCACAAAATCCTCACTGCTCATATACTTCCCAGACCAGTGAGACTAGTGGTTCTCAACCTCTTTTGTACCAGGACCCATTTGTAAACTTCGATGGCCAGTCCTGCCCCCCCCGCCCCCAGGGTGCCTGTGGGGGGGGGGGGGAGAGGGGTATTTGAGGCGGGGAGGAATAGAGGGAACTCTGACAGCCTGCAAGGGAAACGTCACAGTTCCCATGTTTTTCTTTCTAAAGGAGAACCGATTTTTAAAAAAAGTTTGTTGATCCATTTTTAATGTTTGTTTGCGACCCTTTCATATATTCTTACAATTCATTTTTGGGTTGCAACCCACAGGTTGAAAAAACACTGTCCTGGACCAATGTCACTTTAACACTACTTTTCCCCTGTTGTTGGCTAACAAGCATTGTTTTCCTACTACCACCCTAAGCATACATTTTTTAAGCTAGAAAAAAATAAAGGCAGCAAAAAAAAAAAAGGAAGCAAATAATGGCAAAGGTTATGAACCCCATCTGAAATAAGCAGTTACAGAATTGGCTGATTTCTACTTGGATACACTAGTATCAATCTAGAGCGCTGATGGGGTAAATCCAGGGTAAAGAGAAAGCACAATTTGGCCTGAAGTGAGTACTGTGCATTTACATGAGTTCAATGCAAAGGAAAATCTACCCTAACACTTCAGTGGACTGTAAATTAGGAGTTTTCAGTCACAACCTGGATTAAATCATGGCAGTATTTTAGGATTAAATTTTCAAAGCTGCCTAAAGGAGTTGGAAAAGCACAATTCCTTTCATGTTAACAGAGACTGGCATCCAAAAACTCTCAGCCTGGAAGCATATATTGTCCAGTTAAGCAGTTAATTAGGACAAGATGTCATACGTGTGACAATATTCATGCTACACTATGAAAAGCTGAGTTGTGTTTCTTAAACCCTAAGAGAGGCTCATGTCTGCTATACTATAAGTGCTGAGCTCCACATAAACAGTGCAGCTCCTGACAAAAACTTGCAGGGATCAAAATAAAGACTACAAAACAAAACAAAGGAGAAGACAGAAACCAGAGGAATAGGGGTACCTACATGTCATCAGTAGCCAGCACTGTGATTTTAGTAGGCATGTGCCCCCAGCTGGGAAAAGTCTTCTCTGACCAAACCAGGTCTGGTCTGTGGAAACAGCAGCACAGCTTCAGGCTGCACTAGGGGACCTGGCAATGGAACTGACAAAAGCATGGCCATTTTCCAGGTAGCCTGTCTCTGACCCAATTTCTGCTCAGTGTTGAAAGATCAGAACACCAAGTTTTGCTCTGAATGCCAATCACCCCACAGGGTTGTTGGCACAGCCAGGAATCACCAGATGCAAGAATATCCTAACCATGCCTCCTTTTGACAGGCCAACATCGATGCAGTAACTAGGCATAAAGCAGAAAATCAAGTGGTCACTATCTACCCAACATTTCTAGGTTTAGAGCAGCTTTATGCCTCTCCGATCCTTCCTCATATACCAGGCTCTCTGGGGTCACTAACAGACAATTATTGGTTGAATTTACTTCTGTGTACAGATCTGCAGAGATTACATGGCTCTCTCTACACCTTTGCAACTGTACCTTTGTGTGGAGCTAGTAGGAATCTGCCAATGGAACATTTTTTGGAAGGAAATGTTCTTGTTGACACTCAAAAGATAGGTTAGACAAAATCTCTTTTAAAAAGTTCTACAAATTGAGACATCCTATTCTTACATGTCAAAATGAAAAAGTATATTTCAATCAAGTGGTCTTTTTTACTATGACATTTTAGTTCATTTGTACTTGAAAGAAGGAAAAACACTGAAAAAGTTCAAAACTGAAACAAAGCATATCGGTTGAGAAATTATAACTTTCGTTATTAGTTTAAGGAAAATAAAAGATCTTGACTTTTTCCTTGCTTTAGGACAAGAAAAATATTCCAGTCTGGAAAGCTCTTGCAGAGTAGGAATGCTATTTCCTGCCCAGCTCTACAGCTGATCCTAAGTCAACTTCTAGATGTCAAGATAACCATTTAACATGATGTCTGGGAGCAAATTCAAAGTAGTGTCAATTGGAGACCCTTGATAATTTATTTCCTGTGTTGGGGTAGGAGAGTCAGTGCATCCCACAGCACAACAGGTTACTACTGCCTTATGGCCTGCTGGAGGGAGCTTGGAACATTTTAGTTTGGGGTGGAAATTCCAAGACAAAACACTGTGGAATGACACGTATCCTACCTCCACAGGTAGAGGATTGGGGAAAGGAGGGATTCGATAGGCAGACTTGCAATTAGACCTTAGTAAACAATTCTTGGGATAATAAGGAAGTCCTCTTCCATAGCTGTGTTGATTCTGCAGACCTGGCATTAGTGGTTTTTCAAACAAAGGCCTTTGCACTTGTTCCCATACGTTCCATATATTTTGGATCAACTCACTATAAAAAGTCCCCCAAACCATTTATTAACATCTTTAAACCTCTCTTTTGTAATGGTGCCTAGAAAGGAACTTAACAGTGGTTAGATCACCAAACTGCTGAAGCCAGTGACTATCACTGAGAGCTCTTACCTGTAGCCCAGCCCACAAAACACAAACACTTCTGTTGCAAAGACAACACTTGCACAACCTCAATGATCTAAAAACTGCATTCACCCAACAAGCTCTCTGTCAGAGAAATGGACTGCAACTTTGAATTAGCTACACAAAAACCCATCACAAACCTACTACAATGCCAAAAGACCCCAGGGATGTGCAGCTGATGGGGACTGTGAGATCCCAGTCCATCCTAGAACCTATAAGAGAGGTCATCAAGTAATTACAACCTTTGGAGAAGTCTACCAAACTTTGGGGCCTTTCTCTCAACATTGAGAAGACTAAAGTGCTCTATCAGCCTTGAATGGGCCACGAATGTGACCCCCCCACTCCCCAAATTAGCATTGAGGGAAAGAACTTGGAGGTAGTCAAGCATTTTCCATACTTCAGTAGCCACTGCTCTCAGAAAATGAACATTGATGAGGAGATCCAGCGCGCAAGTGCCTCCTTTGGGAAACCGGTTCAGTGTGTCTTTATTCATCATGATCTCCAGAAAGACACCAAGATTCAGGACTACATTTGTAGTCATCATCCCCACTCTCCTCAACAGATGTGAAACATGGGTGATGTACCATCATCATTGCAAGGGCCTGAAGAGGCACTGCTAACAAAATCTCCAGAAAATCCTCCACATTAAATGGTAAGACTGCTGCACAGACACCTGAAGCTATGTTACCAGCATTGAGCTGATGCTCCTCAAGCACCAACTTCACTGGACCAGACACCGTGTGCAGATGCCAGACACTACTCCCAAAACAAGTGCTCTATTCCCAGCTTAGTAATGACCTGAGATCTTGTACTCTGATTATGAACTCTACCGCTAACTGCCATCCTGGTGTAGACAAGCACATGTACATGACAGCAGAATCCTGTATTTTCTACTACACATGAAATGGTACATTAAAGTTAGTGGCAAAACTCCCACCAGTTTCAGTGGGATCAAAATTTTATCCCAGCAGCAAAGAAGTTTTCTTATGTTACAAGGGATTTGGCCTTTGATGAAGTAAACTTGTTCAGTGCGGCTTAGCCCTCACAGACCAGACCTTGGCTATTAAGGTTCATGTAATTATAAGAGTACTTATGCCCTTTATTAGTAGGGACCTACTTAGATTGTGGTTTCATGATTTTTGCAGAAGCTGTGAAAACCGGCAGTTTCCATGATCACCACAAAAATGGCATTTCCCACAATTTTGTACAGAAATCGCCTGAAAAAAAAATAAATGCTTACCCAAATGCAAAAAAACATGGTAATCCCCGCAAGAATAGTGCATGTGGCTTGAGACAGAGCTACTGAGAGGCTTAGCTAGTGATGTAGACTCAGTGAAGGTGCCAGTCAGGAAAACAAAAGGCTTCAGCACCATTTTTAAGTCAGATGCAATGCTGCAGTCTGAAGATGATGAATGAAAAGAAATACAAGAAGGCTACAAACATTTCAACTCAGGATCGTGTAGGAACCTTGCATCCCAATGGTGGCAAGTTATTTTGTTCTTTGTGGAGCATGACTCTGGATGTGTTGCGTTAGAACAGCATTGATTGGTATTTAGAGGCCGCATAAAAGCAAAAGACTGCTGCAGAGGCTGAAGGTCAGAGCAAGAAACAAGTGACTATGTCCTTGATCTTTAACAGAACTACTGAAAGCAGCCCGACAAGAAAAGAGGCTAGTGGAGGCACTATTGGAGCTACTGGTGGCCAACTAGTGGAGACTGATGGATTTGTGCTAGTGGAGGTATTCACACAGCCACCCACATTCCTTTGGAGAAATCTAATAATCCTAAATTAAGGGACTATGTGACAGAGTGGCTTGGGGTGAAAATAACCCCGTGTACACCCTTCCCCTCACTTGGAAGGGGTACGGGATCCTTTGGGCCGGAGCAGGGCCCCAAGAGCAGGGCTGGCCAGCTCGGAGCTGGGTCTCACTTCTGGCTGCACCGGGGAGAGCAGCTCAGTCAGGAACCAGGGGTGGGGACACTTGCTGGGGCGAGCCAGACTCTCGTGTGGGGACAGAGCCAGCCAGGCATGTCTCCCCTGATGACAGGCAGCAAGCTGGCTGCTGCAGGCACAGTTATTAACCCTGCAGGGAGCACAAGCTACAGCTGTGCAGCAGAGCTGGAATTGGATTGGCAACAGCGATCAGATGGACTCCTTAAGAAGCCCCAGCAGTTGAGCCACAGGAGAACACAGACAGCAGCATATGCAGATCAACAGACATGTGAGGAGCAGCAGAGTTGCTCACCTTTCATCACACTAATTCGTAATGGACTGCCAGGTATCCCCGGGGCAAAACCCAACACCTCTGAGCACAGAGCCAGGCATGTGTGAGACTCTGAAAGGCTGACTATGATTATTTGATAAGGACTGAAGGCTGTGCAGCAATATCTGCATAGAGGTTGAGGCGGGCATGTATGGGTCAGAGGAGCTCCCAATTTGTTCCTTAATACCCAAAATCTGATGCAGCCAGCAGTATGAGAGATGAGCAGCCCATGTGGGTTCCCCACTTAAAATGATGGGATAACCCCTGGAAAAACCATAACCTCCCTAATCTGTATTACACCAAAGTTGTGGTGGGTGAAATTGCAAGTACCTGGATGCCCTAATCTTCTGAGGGGCAAGAGCAGATGGAGACTATGTTGTGCAGAGTCAACTACATATAACCACCAAGACACCTTTGTCTTTAAAAAGAAGGAAGTTGAAGATGGCTCGGTCACAGACTATTTGAATACATATGTGCCAAATGCTGGATGTTTCCTATGTGTGAACAAGCTTCACCAAGATCATCTACCAGGAGTAACTGCTTCACATGTTCAGTTCAACTGATATTCTGCCAGTGCAGATTTTGTAATCTCGATTATAGCAGACAAACCCACAGATGCCCAAGATAACTATGTTCTGCATATCTTGTTAGTACCTGGGACCTGGACAGACTATGAGCTTCCAGTTTTTCAAATAGAGCTGGTTCACCTCATATATGTGACATTTTCTACCATGGCACAAGCTGTAGTGAAGGCTGTTATAAACTATGGCTTAGAATTTAACAAGATCCCAGCATTTCTGTCTGATAATGCAATGCAGATGTGCAAAGTTTGCTCTGATGTGCTGCATGGAATGAGGCCTGATGCAATTCATGTCACAAGCTATACACGCATCCTTTCTTTAGTAAGTGACATCTGGTGCACATTTTCCTGATGTGGATAGCCCGGTTTCCTCTTTTATAAAAGTGTTCAGACACTGTCCAGGCCATAGGCTTCGATACAGCAAGTCCATTGCCAATCAAAGCAGGGCTCTACATGCTAGTGTATCACTTCCACCAGAGCCAGTGCTTACAAGGTGGAATTTGTGGTTTAACATAGTTCATTACCATGCTGTGACCATCGGGCTTCGAGTATCCGTTCTCAAACGGCCTTCACCCGGGTAGTGGGCGTTGGGCGTTCTCCGGGCTCGTGTCTTTGGCCGAGCAAGTGTCTCCTCCACGACTCGCCTTCCCCGCCCTCGTCTGCCATGACTTGTTGGTTCTTCAGTTGACAGGGTCGGTCATCTGGTTTGCTCGGTGGCCCGCGGTTCACCCAGAGGTCATTCACAGGGCTCCGCCACCCCTACACCCCGGCCTCACTCCACCTCATGTGCGTTGGTTCCTCCGTTGGCCTCGGCCCCTTCTGTGGAGTCATGCCCTTCTGCTGGCCACCTGCTACAACTGTTCACTAAAACGGGACCTGTTCTCTCAGTTCCGCCCCTACCACACCTTTCTCGTTCCTCCAGGCCCTTCTCCCGGGGAAACAAAGAAAATCTCCAAGGCTCTCCCCTCGGCCCCGATACTCAGGGAAACTCAAAAAGCCAACCCTTCCTCAACCCCTTCACACGGGGAAACAGAAAGACAAATCAAACGAACCTTAAATGCAGGGCCACTCCTTGGCGTGACTACACCCCGCTTCTTCACTTCTCTCCCCCACCTCATTCCAACTCAGGGACTCTCCTCCTGTCGTCAGTCGTCCCTGGGATTTCCTCCCGCTCCGCCGCTGCCCTGGCCGAAAATGGCGGCGATACCTGCCCCAATTGTGACCACCCCAGGGCTCCTCTCAGGGTCCTTCCATCCAGCATGTTCCCCCTCTTGCCCTGGCCACCCCGCCACTCCCACCTGGGATCCTGCCAAGTCTCCAGTTTGTCCCTGGATCCTCGTTTGGGTCTGGGGTCCCTGCTGCCTGACGGCCTTCTGTCCCTGGCTCTCAGCGGGTCACCCTGCTCCATGCTGCTCCCATCCACTCCCAGTTCGCTGGGTTCTGTAAGACCCGTGGTAGGGGTCTCCTCCCCTCCACAGGCCAGCGGGGGTCCTTCTTCCCCGCCTCTCCCTCTCCTCCTCTCCGCGGCGTCGGCTGCCATTTTTATCTTCGCTGGCCAGCACTCATGGCTGACATCACCAGCCAGCCTTAATTGAATAAACAAGTGGCTGACCAGCTGCGCAGACTCTTCCTTCCGCCCCTGCTGTGCTGTGCCTTCTGCTGTGGGTAAGTGCTTGTTGTTATGTTTTGCATGTCTCTTCCTGGGACACATGCAAAAGATATGAAGTAATACTAAAAATTTGTGTGCGAGGATCTTGAAATCATACCAAGCACATAGTGCATGCTTAAACTGCACTCTCTCTTAAGACAGGGCAACACTGAAGATCAAGTTAAGTTTGTGGCTGAAAATGTAATATGGTTCATGGAGCTTCTAACATGGTTTGAAAGTCAGCAGGCTTTGATCCACCAAGCACACAACAAGCTGGCCCAGCTTATAAAATCCCAAGACATAGCATCACAATGACTTTCAAACTATCAACATAAAAACTAGAGGAGACAAGAACTGTTCCAGGCAATACCTATGAAGTTGAATCAGTACTACAAGTACTATCAGTTACTACCACCACAGTTTAAACATTTTTTTTTAGTGTTGTTCATATTTTTTACCCCAATCTGATGTCTTTTCTGAGTTTTGACCTTCAACTATTAAAATCAATCCCTGGATGACAGAAAGGGCATGACAAGAAACATGCTGCTTATGTGAACTTTGTCAAAGAGCACCAGATGTCTTTGACTATGACTGTTTTGGAAGTCTGTTTCTGATCAGTTTCCACAACTTGACAAAACACTGCCTTACTAAACCAAACCAATTCAGTGGATACAGAATGTGCCAGCTCAGTGTATGGACAAGTGTTCATAGTGGAGACACACCGGATGTCAGCTGCAACTGCTGGTAGGTGCTGCATGCTAGCATTTAACAACTAATATGAATTGTTTCTATCAAGGTTAGTATTATTTATTACTGCTAAATTTTTTGTAGAAAACTAATAATAAATTATGATATTAGTTACAATTTACATCATGTATAAATTTATATTCTTATTATATTTCAATTTAGATTTCAATGTAATACTTAGGTTTAAAATAATGCAGTAATTTATTTGATAGCTCTGTGGGCTTTGCTACTTAATTATGCTGCAGTTTTTACCTCTTGGACAAATCAGCAATAAGGGGTGGGGCTACTGGGTCCCCTTGGCCAATTAGTGGTGAGGAGGGGGCTCACCATGAAGACTGTGAAACTGGCTCTGTGCACAGTGAGCAGCTTGCGAAAATCCCTTTTTCTCACCACAGTTTAGGTACCTCCCTATTATTAGCTATGTCTGTTGTTAGGCCAATTCACTGATCCCTTAAGCAAGTGGTTTTCAACCTTTATTTTTTTTTTTTTTTTTTTTTTATTTGTGGGCCTCTAAAAAATTCTTAATGGAGATGCAGACCCCTTTGGAAATTTACAATGAAAATGAAGACGCCTTTGAATTTAAGTGGGGGTTATTCCCATACTTTTTGATTGATCATAGTCATCTTTTACAAACCCCTCAGACATAGTCTGTGGACCCTCAGGGGTCTACAGACCACAGGTTGAAAACCACTGTCTTAGGAGGTTGCTACTTTTCAAGAGCTCCAGAGCAGCAGACAGAAGTGGAGAGGAGGAGACAAAATACTTTGTAGAACTCTTAGAAATCCTGAAGGAGGGCCTTTGATCCTGGAGACTGACAAACTTTCCAGAGGCCATAGACTTCAAAGTTTGTTAAACAACTTCTGTCGTTTCCTTTTGTTCTTGATTCAGCTTCCTGAAAAGTTAAAAGCCAACCTGCTCTTCAAAAATATTCCAGATACCTTTGATGGGTGAGGTGACATTGCTTGCAAGGACAGAACTAATCAGTAATTAGAATTTCCATGTATGGAATCACTAAGGCAAACATACTTGTTTTTTACTGTCCCTTTTATTCCTGTTAGCTAGAAACATGTCTTTAAAAAAAAAAACAAACTAAAAATGTCTTTAAAAAAAAAAAAAACCCAGGAGGATACCTTCAATGCAGAAAGAATCACACTACTCAATTTTGTTTAATTTCACAAAGGAACTGTGCGTTTATACAAGAAAACGAATAGTAATGGGAGCTATATGTTCACAGTAGAAGATAAAATTTGACCCTGTATGATTTCCCTTTCCAGAGAACTGCCTATAAATTTCCCTGTAACAAACAAGGCAACAACAGTTATGATATTCCTCATTTGACCTTGTGCTCTCTGAGACTTAGAAAGCTTGTATTACTCTGATAGATTCTGGGTGAAATCAATGGCAAGACTCCAACTAACATCACTAGAACCAAGACTTCACCTTAAATATTCACACTATAGCACTGTACCTTCCTTACCTCCTAATAGCACTGTTTTTAGAACTAAGGAGTTGTTTAGCCCATTGATAGTTAGGGTTCTGTTCATGACAAGTCTTTACTCAACATTAAGAAAAAGAGTCTACAACGCAAGTGCATAGAGAACCTTGTTTAAACACAATAATAGGGAATAAACAAAAGGTCAAGCAAGCCCCAGTAGATCAGATGGCACAAATTCAAGACAAACCCATCTCCCAAGCCAAACTTAGCAGGGTACTAAAAGCAAGCTGTACAAATAAACTACTCACATGCCTAATTATGGTAAAGAAAAAGAACATTAAAATGACATCGCCTTATATAGCATGTTCTTCCGCTACATAAATATGTAAAATATATAGAGTCGCTGTTTCAACGAAGTATTTAAACCCATACAGAACATTAAACATGTGCCAGTGTGCCATTGTCTTTTCCACAGGACTCAAGAAAGGGCTTTTAATTAAACTATGTGCTTAAGTGCTTTGCTAAGTCAGGGCCATACTTTGCATATGAAATTTTATGTAACTGTGCAGAAATAAGGATAATTATTTTCATTATGCAGCAGGATCTTATTTCATACACATAAAAGTGTCCATACATGGGTGTATTTAATAAAAGAAAAAACCCCCAACTATTTCTCTTCACAGGCTTACTCCTGTCAAATAAAAGTTATTGGGCCTGGTTCTCCTTCAAATCCAAACTGTTCACCTTCAACTGGTTATTATGCTGCAACCTATCACTAAAAAATATGATAGAACACAAAAAGGGAACACATGGACCAAAAGCCTATCAATAAAGATTGGGCATGACAAGGCCTGGCTTGGGACTGGTGAGCAAGAGTGGGTGACCAGTACTTACTTCATAAGACTACCATGCCTGCACAGAATATTTATATTTCTTAAGACTGGGAATTTTGGGAAAAGAAAAAAAAGCATTAGCAGTTGCTAAGTTCCAACCCAGTTTTAACTGTATTTGCCATAGCAACAAGCCAATCTTAGTATGATTATCACTAACGCTAATTAATAATGCTCTTAGCAGTAAGGAACTTATCAGGTATGTGTACAATAAAAATTTGTAGGGTGACATGTTCAAATAGGCATTGCAACTCTGGTTATAGTATAGAGGGTATCTGAAGGTCATCGTTAGAAGCCCAGATCAGGGAAGAGATACAATAATAGGCACTTGGTTGACACCCTGACTGTCATCACTCCACAGAATGATGGCGCGAAGAGAGGAACTTCTTGCATCTTATTGTAATTCTTTCATCTTCAGATTTGCAGTTATAATATTTATTTGGGTTTTTAATGAAGACCTGCATTTTAGTTACTAGCTACCCTTTGCTGACTGCTGTCAACATAACACTTCTGCAGTCCCTAGCGCAGACCTAACAAAACACTAGGTTTAAAAACATAAGAGATGCAATACTGGGTAAGACCACAAATCCATTGAGCCCTGTATTCTGTATCTCACAGTGGCATAGCGGATACTAAGGGAAGAGTATCTCAACTGATCTATCCCCTACTCCTCTTTCCTTACAGCTTCCAGCATTTAGATTAAATCCACTGGAGGCTATAGTACCAGGTAAAAACAATTATGTGGATATGCATACTGCACCAAACTGTATTCTTTAATAGGCACAGTTTCAACGCATTTAAAGTGAAGC